GAGGCGGGGAGGGCCGGGGTGGGGGTCGGGGCTTTGGGGAATCCGGGCGCTGGAGAGGGTGGGGGTGCGGTGGGCGGCGGGACAGCGGCGGGGGGATGGTGCGGTGGGCGCGAGGGGGTGCGGGGGTGTCCCGGGGCGGTGTCCCGGAGGCGGGTCGTGACAGATATCATCAATGGGATGAAGGAGGAGATTCCCCCATGGAGGGAAGTGAACCATGAGATTGATCTCATAGATGAAACCAAGCAGTACAAGTACCACTTGCCTTGCTGTCCATGAGCACTACAGGAGCAGCTTTGTGGCAAGACAAATTGCTATATCAATGCCAAGTAGTGGGAACCACAGCTGACGATGCAAGCTGCACCTTTGCTGTGCATTCCCAAGAAAGATAGGATGCTTTGGACTGCGTTGGATGCACACCAGCACAATGACAACACCATCAAGGATGTGACGCCACTTCTTGACCAGGAAGTTATTTGCGAGGATGTTGCAAAAGCTAGGTACAGGTCAAAGATCGACCTGACAGATGCCTATGAACAAGTATGCATATGCATACAAGACATTCTGAAAACTGTGTTTGCATCTCTGATGGGGACATTTGTCAGTAACATTATGCAGATTGGTGATTGCAATGTGCCAGCAATGTTCCAGAAGTTAATGACCTCAATATTCTGAGATGTCATCGGAGAAGTTTATGCACACCTATTTAGACAATATTTTTATCTTTTCCAACTCATAGAGGAGCATGAGCAGCACTTACAAGTCATTTTCAAACGACTGTGTAAAGTGAGCTTGTATCTCAAGTGGAGCACAAAGTATTGACTGCTTAGGGCACATCATAGACATGCAGGGTATTCACCCAGACTCAGATAAACTCGATTGTATTCAAGAGTGGCAAACACCATGGAATTACAATGATATCCAATGTTTTGTTGGACTAGTTAACTATAGTGTTAACTTCTTACCAGATAACTGCCTACACTGGCCCTCTCATGGGCCATGACCCAGAACGGGTCATTTTATTGGCAACCACTACACCATGTTTTTTAGTCACGTGCAAGGTAAATTACTTGTCATTTAAAAAATACCTGAAATTCTAACCTGGTAAGTTATCACTTGAGGTTTTGGTTTTTACGCAACTCTACTCTCAGGCTGACACATTGGCCTTAGTACAAATAATTGTTCGGACTCAAACTAACACTGTTCCAGAGAGACTTGAACTCTCAATCTTCCAATTGAGAGCATTAACAGTCAGACACCATAACTAACTAAGCCATGGAACACACGTTTATAAGTTTACTGTGATTCTTGAGGAAAGGTTGGTAGGTAGTACTAAGTGTTTGAGGCAGTGTTGATACGATTACCAGGTCAACCATGGAGCGTCTGCATCTTCAATCTTGCATATTACCAGGGATTCCCTCATCACCTCACGTATTCCTTCCAAGAATGTATCAATCATTACCCAATTGTCTGGATAAATGGACATATTTTGAGTATGGTCAATCAAGGTGTCATAGAACCCTTGCACTCCCAACTTGTCATTGTAGAAGGTCGCTATGAAGGCCTCCTGTGCATCCTGCATAGTTGATGCACTTACAAATCAATTATATAGCTCAAGGATTACATCCTTGAACGTCCACTGCTGTTGTGCACAATTATAATGCAAGACATGGTGCCTAAACCAGTTTTTTGCCGGTCCTTCCAAGAATTCTGGAAGGACAAACACTCGTTCCCAATCCAGCCAGTCACCACCATACTGACAGGCCACCAGGTGGTTACACACATCCATCGTCCAGTTTTCCAAGTCACTAAACTTGGATTCTCCTCAGTACGGTTGGATATGCTTGGACTCAGCCTTCTGGGACTTGATTCCTTCCAGTAGGTGTAGGGCTACACCTACTGTGTCATCAATGATACTACTGAGGCGTTGGTGCATATTCTCATTGTACACCTTCATTGCCTCAGCCAACCCTAGTGTCTTATTCCTGCCTTCAGCAGAAGGGACCACCAAACATGCCCATACAAGTTGCTGACCTGAGAATTGTGGTCTTCCAGTATCAATCCACTGAGGTGGATCATATCATCCACCTTAGTCATCCGCACGCCTGTGACCTGACTTCCGTTCTGGTGGTGCAACAGTCTCCTTCTCCTGCCTGCTGTCTCAGTCAGGCTGGGTGGTCCTTCTCACAAACTGCTGCCTCATTTCATTGATGGGTATTACTCCATCAAATACTATCCCCTGATCATTAATCAAGGAGTACCCCTGGCACTTCAAATCTTAATTTTTCATGTGCTGATACACGACTCGTTCAGCAAACTTCTCAGCCAGTGGCACCCAGCTCGTCAGTAGAGTTTTCTCCACTGGCTCTTGCTTGACTTGCAAAGACAATACCTCCTCCACTTCTTCACCATGACTTTTGACCACCGGAATGGTTGACACAGACTCCACTATGGATAGAGGTCTGCCTCCTTGTTCTCTAAAGGTATTTTGTCATTGCGCTGTGGCAAGTCTTGCAGCAAACTGTTCCTCTGACTCCCCCGGTTGCTAGGGAGCATAAATATTACTCATTGCTTCTTCCAAATGTGGAGAAAGCACTGGCCTTGCTTGTATATTTGGGATCAAATGTGCTCCCTCAGGCATTGAGGCTGGTGATCCTCAACTAGCCTTCCAGTACAAATAGGCATGTGCTTCTAATTCCAAAAATTAAACATATAGATTTATATATTCACTGGTACTTGCCTGAGGTACATGTTCACCTCACGCTTGAATCATTCATATGTGCTGTAGCACATACAATCCCAGTCTTGTGGATGTAGTATCCTTCGTGATGCTTGGGTACCTTTTCATAGCATTGCATACTGGATTTGCAAGGTGGATTCACCTCGCCCATCTGCATCCTCATCCTATGTCTCATTTTCCCAGTGCACTGCTGGTGTTTGTTGCTCAGGAATTCTACCTTCCTGAGCTCCTCTGTTTCCTGACTAATGCTGTGTCATTGGCATTGACTCTGTTGGACCTCTCCAACTGCCCTCCACTTTTGGTATCTTTCCCATGGCTTGCCCAAAGGGTCTATGACCTTCCGCAGATACATGTCCTGTATTCTTGGTTTGTACAGGATGACCAGGCCTCCCAGGCTGCCTGTATGCTGCAGACTCTCTTCCAGTAATCTGGTCTGGGGTTGCCCAGCCTGCACCTTGCCGTGCATCACCGCTCGGTGCTGCAGCTGGTCAGGCCTCACTCTAGAGGGCTCCTCCTGGCATCTCCTTATGTTGCTGAGGAGATTCCTCTTTTCTGTCCTCCACTGTCACTGGCCCAGGATGACTCAGGTCAGCTGTCTCATCCTGTGGATAAGCCAATGACTGGTCGATGTTCTCACCATCATGGGTTGGTTCAAGTAGTTGATTGTTAGTATCCATCCAATCACTTGTTAGAATGTGGTTGCTGTACCGGTGATGTGCATTGCAGAAGTTGATGCACTGTTTGATTGGATCAGATTCTAGACTGCTGGTCTAGAACACAATATGCTCGTAGTAATAGAATTGAACCCGAAAGGTTCAAAAAAGTGAAACAATGTCAAAAGGTTGTAGCCTCACAGTCACACAAGAGAACCAGATCGGTGTATGATTCTAATACTACAAAGTATGACTGTAAGATTGGCTGCCTTACATAAGGCAGCCAGTAAATAATTACCAACTATTAAATAAGTAGTTTGTTAATAGCATAGAGTGATACTCTACGCAAGTCCATTACAGGATCTTCTTGGGTCCACTTTTGAGATTTATACAGATCACAAGACCTTGCAAAACTTCAATTTGCAGAGGGAATTGTCCAAACGTCAAGCTCAATGGATGGAGTTTCTTTTGCAATATGACTACAAAATCAATTACATTCCAGGTGTAGATAATACAGTGGCAGATGCCTTATTGAGGATGCCAGAGACCTAACTGAGTGTATATTGTTCCATCTCTCCTGTTCACAATCTCCTCTCAGGTCACATGATCATTCTCTCAGCAGGTTTTTTAAAATGTTTTAGTATTGAATATTCATTGCACAAAGAATGTGATGCACCATCAATGTTCTTGCTAGACCATGGTCACGTTTTTAGTCACGTGCAGGGTAAATTACAAGTAAAAAACACCCAAAATTCTGGACTGGTAAGTTAACCCTTGAGATTCTACTCTCAGCCCTGCCACATGGGGCTTACAAAGTAAAAACAATCATTAGCCTCAAATTATGACTGTCCCAGAGAGACTTGAACTCTCGATCTTCCGATTGAGAGGATTAACAGTCGGACGCCGTAACCAACTAAGCCA